TACCAAATTCCAAAGAGTCATGCAGTCTCAAAGAATTTTAAAACCTAATTACAAAAACCGAAAACAAGATTTATATTGATCTTAATTATGGCTCTTGTTTTTGTCAAATCGTTCACTGCCGCCTCAGGCTCGGATGTAGCGACCCAAACGCCGATAAGTATAACAGACATTTAATAGACAGTGCATGTTGCTCTTGTGGATATCAACTACCCGTTATAACCTGGATAATTTTTTTAACTCCGTGTGTACACCAGAAAATAGTTGAATCCGTCCACGATTATATCATCAAGACACAACCTTCAAATTTTCACAGGGAAAATCTGAAATTAACTCAACAACCTTCTCATGATTAATTTATATTCCTACAATAGCTTGTTAGACACACACAACTGTAAGTCTCTAATTATGACTATTTAGAAAATAGTTGTATTTGATGTAATCTGTATATATTTATATGTACTTAAAAATATATTTCATTTTATATTTTATGTTTCATGGGACCAGTGTTAACATAAGCAGTAATACTTCACCAATCTCAATTCATGTTCATAAATAATAATAAAATATGTTTAAACCAAAATGACTTTCAAACTTCATAATAGTCAATAAAAATGTGTTATCATAATAACATATTCTTCTGAATAAATAAAATATTCAATGAACTATTTCTTCTGTGTAAATATAATCTATGATAATCTATTTCATTAATCAACTCATCAATGAACTATAGTCCGTTTGGCTAAAAGCGGACCGATGTATTGCAATCTAACTCGAAAACTAATAAACATAACATACTCAATGAAACGGTGATCATAATCAAAACAACATACCCACTCTGTGAGGTTTTTGCAGACTTTTTGTCCTAAAAATAATAATGTTGTTTAACAAACTATCATGAAAATATTGACACAGTTCACTGTTTGTTACGAGGGAGGAGAGCAGAGACAGGGACAGCCAGGTGTTCGAGAAGCACGTTCACAGACAAAGTTATTTATTCATTAACCTGTGCTGTGCTGTCTCCATCCATTCTCGAACACACAACCACTCTCGGAGCAGATAAAACTTGTCTGGAGATGGGACTAGACGTTTGATGACGAAAGAGACGATGGAGATACTCTTTCAAGTAGGAGTCTGGGGCCCCCTCGAAAAATCTATGTCCGGGGACAGTGTTTTCGATCAACGAATTGCTCTCTTTGAACGGCGTTCCGATATAGCATGCTTAAAATTTGAAGGACCTTCAGCAGTTGTACGCCAATCTCTGTCCAATCTACGTCTAGATGCAACCCATCGATATTCAGAAAAATCATCATCATTCAAGTGTGAACAAACAGAACACCGATGTGACCAACTACAACAGCCTATACAATCCAAGCACAAAGTGTGTGGATCAGCAGCGGAAACGTTGCTGTTGCACTGATCACAGTGTTTGCGTTTCTTACAAGAACTTTGATTCCATATTTCCCATACTGACAATCAAATAATGTCTAACTGAGAGAACAACACACGTCCACTCGGTGTAGCGACAAGAAAGAGAATGACAGGTACAGACCGTCACGTGATCATCTGAGTGATCTGCACGCGTATTGAGATGATTGACAAGTACTGCTATCAGCATGGGGTCAGCGGTCAGGGGGTCAGAGGCAAGATAATTTTTGATTCAACTTAGCCTACAGCACGTTTCCATACATGGTCGTAGAAGAAGAAGAGAGGTGCATACCGTGAGATAGGATAAGTTTAAAAATTTACAAAATCAGTTGTAAGACTATTTGTTCTGGGCGATCTTACGTAGTACCTGTGGTAGTAATATCGGTGGTAAAAAATGCGTAATTTTTGCTCTTCCCATGATAGGCTTAAAGTGTCAAGAACCCAAGCTTGTGGGTCTGATACTGGTGAGGCGAACATTTGCAATTTGATGATTGAAGCGTGTCGAAAACATATCTATGTGCCTGATAGCGATGTGTGTTCTATTTATAGCAGAAGTGGACAGGAGCACTGCCGAGAAGAAAAATTCCACGATAAACATCTCTTATCTGCTGTCAAGGCTAGATACCTCTTGGATGTCCATGATGATACTGTAACAGAGTCGTATACAGTGTTTCTCAGGCTGTAGATGAAGTAATCCCATGTACAACGGGTTTGTTTACAACCCAGTGGGCTTGCTGGCACGTGATCTGCGAGTCAGGCCTGCGCAGGGCGTTGCCTTTGTCCTCGACGAATCAGCTTCGAAGCGTGTGACGTCAGCGGTGTTGTAACAAGTTGGCCCTCATGAAATCTGGTGCAATAGTTGGATGAGTAAAAGCGCTGCTTACATCAACCTCCCAATCTCTTCAATAAGGGTTGCTCCAAGTGTAAACTTCTTGCTCAGTGATGATAACCACGCATTCCGATTGTGGTTAACTATGTATGGATGGAGCTTGAAGAAGAATACTAGATACATGCTCATCTTACAGACGATTCATATGTTAAAACTAAGGCTATAGTAATAACTGAATTGTAAGCCGTGTTGTTGATAAGGGTCTGCATAAGTAACCCATCCTTCTAGTAGATGTTTCTAGATTAGCCAACTTTTTATCTTCCACTCTGTATCTGCGATATTTACCATTGATGAGGAGATTAAGTCGTTGTCTATTTCATTCACTCTGAAGAAGTGTTCATGCTATGAAGAGGGAATTCCTCCCATTAAACGCCGGTGTATGTCCACCTTGATGTCTAATAGCATTTGTGAATGCTGACTTGAGGTTAGACGTGACATGCGATATCTGCTTATCAGCTGTTGTATCCCGTTGAATGCTGTTGTAGTATGTCTAAACCACACGTTGTGTGACCTTCGCCACAAATTCCTGGTCCAACGGTAAGTTAGCATTACCCTGAGAGTTCACTCAAGCGTATGATGTAGCCGTGATACTTCGCTGATGACACTGATTAATAGTAGTCGTCTGCGTACAAGAAATCTCCATAGGTTGTGTGACATCTCACTCTCCGGTGCCTGAGAATCACCCCTCACAGCTGCTGCCTTGTTGATATGTTTCTGTTTATCTGCTAATAAATATTTATTAAACAAATCTGTTGATAAATGAGCACAATATTGACAGCATGCTAATAAAGAGCACGAATGAAGGCAGCAAGAGGGGCAAACAGGGTGTGGATCGGCTGCAGATAGATCGAAATCTGCACTGTTGACAAGCTTCCATTAGTAAACACCCACCTGCAATGGTGTGTAAAACCACAAATTTTAGTTAAAATGTACATGATATAAAACATTGTGATGAATATAAATGAATCTAAATACAGGTCACATACTAACTTAGAATATAAGGCCGAAAAGCAAAGAATATATGCCACAAGTAGGTCAGCTAGGGCGATGAAGGAGAGAGTGATAAGAGCTAGGCTCAGGTCACGTGGGTAACTCAGGGTGAGTGATTGTAGGATCGCTTCAGGGAATTGAATAGGATTCAACGTTTCCCATGACCGTCGAAGAAAAAGGGAGATATGACTCAGGATAAGGAAAAATCATGGTACTTGTTGGTCCATGCCTGGCGCTCGGCAGTAATGGGTACAACAAGGACTGGCCGGCTCGAGTCAGTATAATGTGTCTGAGTGGGGTATTCATGCTTCACTGCGGCATGGTACCTCAGTGAGCTGGCACTATAAAACCAGCTTCAGTCTGGGCTAGTACAAGCAGCCACACCTACACACACACGCATGCACCTCGTCACATGAGCAAAATATTCTTAAAGGTGATGTTAAACCCCATTTCACCTCACCTCACCTCATTAGGGCTTATGTCAAAATTGATGGACAGTTGTGATGTAACTGATATGGGGAGTTGTGTTATACCTGATGTTGTGAGTTGTGTTATACCTGATGATGTGAGTTGTGTTATACCTGATGATGTGAGTTGTGTTATACCTGATGGTGTGAGTTGTGTGATACATAATGTGGGGAGTTGTGTTATACCTGATGATGTCAGTTGTGTTATACCTGATGATGTGAGTTGTGTTATACCTGATGATGTGAGTTGTGTTATACATGATGCTGTGAGTTGTGTTATACATGATGCTGTGAGTTGTGTTATACATAATGTGGTGAGTTGTGTTATACATACATGATGCTGTGAGTTGTTATACCTGATGATGTGAGTTGTGTTATACCTGATGATGTGAGTTGTTTTACCTGATGATGTGAGTTGTTTTACCTGATGATGTGAGTTGTGTTATACCTGATGATGTGAGTTGTTATACCTGATGATGTGAGTTGTGTTATACCTGATGATGTGAGTTGTTTTACCTGATGATGTGAGTTGTGTTATACCTGATGATGTGAGTTGTTATACCTGATGATGTGAGTTGTGTTATATCTGATGATGAGTTGTTATACATGATGATGTGCGCTTGTGTTATACCTGATGATGTGAGTTGTGTTATACATGATGATGTGAGTTGTGTTATACATGATGTTGTGAGTTGTGTTATATACATGGTGATGTGAGTTGTGTTATACCTGATGATGTGAGTTGTTATACATGGTGATGTGAGTTGTGTGTTATACCTGATGATGTGAGTTGTGTTATACATGATGATGTGAGTTGTGTTAAACATGATGTTGTCAGTTGTGTTATACATGGTGATGTGAGTTGTGTTATACATGATGATGTGAGTTGTGTTAATCTGATGTGAGTTGTGTTATACCTGATGTGAGTTGTGTTATACCTGATGATGATGTGAGTTGTGTTATATCTGATGATGTGAGTTGTGTTATACATGATGATGAGTGAGTTGTGTTATACCTGATGATGTGAGTTGTGTTATACATGATGATGTGAGTTGTGTTATACCTGATGTGAGTTGTGTTATACCTGATGATGTGAGTTGTGTTTATACATGATGATGTGAGTTGTGTTATACATGATGATGTGAGTTGTGTTATATCTGATGATGTGAGTTGTGTTATACATGATGATGTGAGTTGTGTTATACATGATGTTGTGAGTTGTGTTATACCTGATGTGGGCTTATGTCCAAACACAATCTCATTTAAGATGAGGAGTAGCGGACATCCGATATCGTGCAGATTCATTGACGATGTCCAGGAAGTGGTCCGCCAGGATGCTGAGGTCTCCTGGAAAATGAAACAACAGTAGATTAATACCTACATGTAACACACCAACCCAGACCAAGTACCATGCTCACCTAAACATCTACTAAGATTATCTTGACCACACAGAACACCTACAATAAATACAACAGAGTAGATTACCATGGTAACCACTATGATCACCCACTACACCAAAACCCCTTCCACGGGTACACATACCATAATACAAAAAGTACACCTATCCTGATCATCCAGTACACACCTACCATCATGACAAGTACATCTACTATGATGACACGTCCACCTACCATAATGACAAGTACACTGCCATGATGACAAATACATCTACCATGAAGAGAAGTACACCTACCAGAGTCAGTATAATGTGTCTGAGTGGGGTATTCATGCTTCAATGCGACATGGTACCTCAGTGAGCTAGCACTATAAAACCAGCTTCAGTCTGGGCTAGTACAAGCAGCCACACCTACACTACACACACACGCATGCACCTCGTCACATGAGCAAAATATTCTTAAGGGTGATGTTAAACCCCATTTCACCTCACCCTCACTCTATTAGGCTTATGTCAAAATTGATGGACAGTTGTGATGTAACTGATATGGGGAGCTGTGTTATACCTGATGTTGTGAGTAGTGTTATACCTGATGATGTGAGTTGTGTTATACCTGATGATGTGAGTTGTGTTATACCTGATGATGTGAGTTGTGTTATACCTGATGGTGTGAGTTGTGTTATACATAATGTGGGGAGTTGTGTTATACCTGATGATGTGAGTTGTGTTATACCTGATGATGTGAGTTGTGTTATACCTGATGATGTGAGTTGTGTTATACATGATGTGGGGAGAAGTGTTATACATAATGTGGGGAGTTGTGTTATACCTGATGTTGTGAGTTGTGTTATACATGATGATGTGAGTTGTGTTATACCTGATGATGTGAGTTGTGTTATACATGATGATGTGAGTTGTGTTATACATGATGATGTGAGTTGTGTTATACATAATGTGGGGAGTTGTGTTATACATGATGATGTGAGTTGTGTTATACCTGATGTTGTGAGTTGTGTTATACCTGATGATGTGAGTTGTGTTATACATGATGCTGTGAGTTGTGTTATACATGATGCTGTGAGTTGTGTTATACATAATGTGGTGAGTTGTGTTATACATGATGCTGTGAGTTGTGTTATACCTGATGATGTGAGTTGTGTTATACCTGATGATGTGAGTTGTTATACCTGATGATGCGAAGTTGTGTTATACCTGATGATGTGAGTTGTTTTACCTGATGATGTGAGTTGTGTTATACCTGATGAAGTACCATGCTCACCTAAACATCTACCAAGATTATCTTGACCACACAGAACACCTACAATAAATACAACAGAGTAGATTACCATGGTAACCACTATGATCACCCACTACACCAAAACCCCTTCCACGTGGTACACATACCATAATACAAAAGTACACCTATCCTGATCATCCAGTACACACCTACCATCATGACAAGTACATCTACTATGATGACATCGTCCACCTACCATAATGACAAGTACACCATGCAAGTTACATGATGATGACAAGTACATCTACCATGATGACAAGTTGATGTTGTGAGCTGTAAGCTATACATGATGATGTGGAGTTGTGTTATACCTGATGATGTGAGTTGTGTTATACCCGATGATGTGGAGTTGTGTTATACCTTGATGGTGTGAGTTGTGCTATACAATGTGGGGAGTTGTGTTATACATGATGATGTGGAGCCAGCCATACCTGATGATGTGAGTTGTGTTATACCTGATGATGTGAGCTTGAAGTATACATGATGCTGTGAGTTGTGTTGTACATGATGCTGTGAGTTGTGTTATACATAATGTGGTGAGCTGTGTTATACATGATGATGTGACAAAGCTGCGCCCTTGATGATGTGTGGAGCTAGTTATACCTGATGATGTGGAGTTGTTATACCTGATGATGAGTTGTGTTATACCTGATGATGTGAGCTGTTTTACCTGATGATGTGAGTTGTGTTATACCTGGATGAAGCAACATGCTCACCTAAACATCTACCAAGATTATCTTGACCACACAGAACACTCTACACAAATACAACAGGAGTAGATTACCATGGTAAATCCACTTCATGATCACCCACTACACTCCAAACCCCTTCCACGTGGTAATACTACTACCATAATACAAAAGTACACCTATCCTGATCATCCGGTACACCATCATGACAAGTACGTAATACTAATGATGACGGAGTCACCTATAGCAATGAACCGAGTACTGCCATGATGACGGTGCATCTGCGCTGAAGAAGTACACCGCAGATTAGAGTATAAAGTGTGTCTGAATTAGGGTATTCGTAGCTCGATATGACGTAGTGCCTCAGTGAAAGGCTGGCGCTATGGAACCAGCTTCAGTCTGGGCTAATTACAAACAGCCACACCTACACCTGCGCGTACTTCACATGAGCAAAATATTCTTAAGGGTGATGTTAAACCCAATTTCCGCATCACTCTGATAGGCTTGTCAAGGAATTGATGGACAGTTGTGATGTAACTGATATGGGAGACTGTGTTGCTTGCTGATGATGTTGTGAAGTGGAAGGTGTTACATACCGATGATGTGGTTGTGTTATACTGATGATGTGAGGTGTTATGCACCTGATGATGTGAGTTGTGTTATACCTGATGGTGAGTTGTGTTATACGCTAATGTGGGGTTAGTATTTAATACCGTGATGGCGGTTGTGTTATACCTGATGATGTAGAGTTGTGTTATGCCGCATTGATGTGAGTTGTGTTATACGCAATGGCTGGTGGATTTGTGTTATGCAGTAATGGTGAAGGTTGTGTTATCATATGATGTTGGCGGGTTATTGGTATAGCGATGATGAGTTGTGTTATACCTGATGATGTGAGTTGTCGATTTTATACGGTGATGTGAGGTTGTCGGTATACCTGATGGTGTGAAGGTTTGTGATGCATGCCTTAATTAACGGGGTTATTGTTATGCAATGATGGAGTAATGAGTTGTGTTATACCTGATGATGTGAGTTGGTATTTATGCCGCGATGGTGGGTTGTGGTAATACGCGATCACTGTGAGTTAGTAATTTTGTACATGATGTAGGTTAGTATTATACGCCGGTAAATGGTGAGTTGTGTTATACATGATGAGTGAGTTGTGTTATACCTGATGTGAGTTGTGTTATACCGGTGTTGTGGGTTGTTTAATACCTGATGATCGCAGGAGTTGTTATGCACAGGTGATGACGAGTTATTTTTGCGATGATTGAGGTTGATGATAACGCAATTGATGCGTATCACCTAAACATCTGCCAGATTATCTTGATACTGGAACGCCGTAAATGTCCTGGCGGAGTAAGATTACCGTAGTAACCACTATGATCGCCACTACGCCAAGCCCTTCCGTGCCATAATGCAAAGTACACCTACGTCACCGGTCATCCGAACACCTACCATCATGAGTAGTACATCTACTATGATGAACGCGTCCACCTACCATAATGACAAATTACGCTTCATGATGAAGCAAAATTGCCTGCCATGATGACAAATTGCATCTACCATGATGAAACAAAATTACACTGCCATGATGACAAATTGCACCTGCGATGACCTACCATGGTGACGGCCTTATACCAAAAGCTTGATCCACCAGTACATCTACTGCGACAAGTACACCTCTGCGTTAATAAAATTACCATGATGACAAGTACACCTACCATGATGTAAATTACACCTACCATGATGGCAAAAGTACGCACCCGTGACCGATTACACCTGCCGCGATGACAAATTTTCATGGTGGCGGTACGCGTTGACGGAAATTTGCATCTGCCATGATGACAAGTACACCTACCATGATGACAAGTACACCTACCATGATGACAAGTACACCTACCATGATGACAGTACACCTACCATGATGACAAGTACATCTGCCATGACAAGTACATCTGCTATGATTACAGGTACACCTGCCATGATGACAAGTACACCTGCCACGATGACAAGTACATCTGCCATGATTACAAGTACATCTGACACAGGTACACCTGCCATGATGATAAACATCAACCCTCCCAATCTCTTCAATAAGGGTTGCTCCAAGCAAACTTCTTTGCTCAGTGATGATAACCACGATTTCGACTGTGGTTAACTATGAGCTTGAAGAAGAATACTAGATACTTTGCTCATCTTACAGACGATTCATATGTTAAAACTAAGGCTATAGTAATAACTGAATTGTAAGTCGCGGTTGTTGATAAGGGTCTGCATAAGTAACCCATCCTTCTAGTAGATGTTTCTAGATTAGCCAACTTTATCTTCCACTCTGTATCTCGCGCGACATTTACCATTGATGAGGAGATTAAGTCGCTATTCATTTCATTCACTCTGAAGAAGTTTTCATGCTATGAAGAGGAATTTCCCCATTAAACGCGTGTATGTCCACCTTGATGTCTAATAGCATTTGTGAATGCTGGACTTTGAGGTTAGACGCGACATGCGATATCTGCTTATCAGCCGTTGTATCCCGCTGAATGCTGTTGTAGTATGTCTAAACCACACCGCCAGTGACCTTCGCCACAAATTCCTGGTCCAACGGTAAGTTAGCATTACCCCTGAGAGTTCACTCCGCCGCATGATGTAGCCGCTGATACTTCAGCTGATGACACTGATTAATAGTAGTCGCTTATGCGACAAGAAATCTCCATAGTGCGCCAGACATCTCACTCTCCGTGCCTCGAGAATCACCCCTCACAGCTGCTGCCTTGTTGATATGTTTCTGTTTATATCTGCTAATAAATATTTATTAAAACAAATCTGTTGATAAATGAGCACAATATTGACAGCATGCTAATAAAGAGCACGAAATGAAGGCAGCAAGAGGGGCAAACAGGGTGTGGATCGGGCTGCAGATAGACGTAAATCTGCACTGTTGACAAGCTTCCATTAGTAAACA